AGTATTAGTAGTATTACAGGTAACTTATAAGATTGAACTTATAAGATTGAAGCAGGAATAATATAAGCTTGGGTGCAATACATAAGCTCTTTGTATTTTTAGTTTTGTTTTTGTTTGCCTTTTATTTTTTTTGTTTTACAAGAAAGGCCACTGCGAAAACTTTTGTTATCTCTATAATAAATTCTTTTATAAAAGTATCTCTTTATTTCATTTTATCTTACTTGATATATACACAACGGCCCCAGTCACAATATTATTATGGAATTGTAGAGGGATTAAAAATAAAAAAGAAGAATTGGCTATGAGAATAAGAGATTACAGACATCGCGGTTATAACTGAAATTAAACTGCCAAAAAATGTCCCAATTTACTTTCCAGGATATAAAACATCGATCGAATAATCCTGATAGCAAGGGAGGAATAGCCATTGCGATACACAACAGACTAGAGTTCGAGATTCTAAAGTGTCAGGAGGATATCCACGGGGCAGTTGAAAAGATAGGTATTACGGTGAAGAATGTTTTAGGAAAAGTTAACATAGTTGCGATATACAGGAGACCAGGAACTAGATTGGATAAATCCACATGGCGGAAAATACTCACTAACAATGGAAATACACATAAAACATATTATGTTGGAGACTTTAACGCACATAATACTATATGGAACTGTGGAGATACGGATAGAAATGGTGAAAATATGAGCGAGGTGATGAATGAAAAGAATTTGGTATGTTATAACGAAGATACAAAATCCAGAATGGGAATAGCAGATCAAATCTCTAACAATCTAGACTTAATACTAGGACCACCAGAGGACCTAGACAATATAAGAACATACCAATTGCCGGATTCGTGGGGGTCGGACCACTATCCAATAATAATGGAGATGGACTTTAAAATCACAAATTACATCAAAAAGACAAACAGAATTTCATCAAGAAAAACGAAATGGGAAGATTATGGAAGAAAGACTACAGAAATCTGGGAAAAGTCGAGGAAAGAGTTAAGGTTAGGTTAAGATTAGGTTCAGGCGATAGGGATAATAATTATCTTACATACGGTAAGATAATTTATTATGTGAGAGCATGAAAATGGCTATAGAAGAGATCACCCCAAGAAGAAGAGGCAAGGAGAAAGGATACAAAAATAACAGAATAGAAAGAAACAGATTCCTTCCAGCTAAATGATGGGATGGAGAATGTGAAGAAGCAATAAGAAATAGAAAGGAAGCACAGAAGAGGTTTATTAGAAAGGGAACCATGCATGCATACATCGAATATAAGAGGTGCAGAGCTATTGCGAGAAAAGTGGTCAAAACAAAAAAGTCACAAGACTTCGAATTATTCTGTAAATTAATTAACAATAATATAAGTATGGCTTATGTATGGAACACGATGAGGATATTCAAGAATTGTAGGGCAAAGATAGAATGGAATAAATGGAAAAGTAAGAACAGAGAGGAATGTATAAGGGAAATGATAGAAAAGCTTGCTTCCCCGTCTGTGGAAAACCCACCGATGGAAATTGGAGAGGAACAGGAGAAGAGACAAGGATGGAAGGAAAGATTCACAACAGCGGAATGGAAAAGAGCATTAAGCATGATAAGAAAAAATACATCTCCGGGAAGAGATGGTATCGAGTGACATGATCAAATTACTATCAAATAGGATGCAGCAAGAAATGCTACTTAATGGAATATGGAAGGGGAATGTGCTACCAAGAAGCTGGCAGGAATATCAAGTGATCTTCATAGATAAACCAGGGAAGGAAAAAGTCAGGCCGATAGCTTTAGCGTCCTGCATGTGTAAAGTTATGGAAAGGATGGTAAATGAGAGATTGGTATGGTGGGCAGAGAAGAATAACTTAATAGCCAGGGATCAAAACGGATTCAGGACAGGAAAGTCTTGTGCGGATAACCTGACCCAAATCACTATGGACATCAAGAATGGATTCTTTACAGGAGAATACACTACAGCGTTATTCGTGGATGTAACTGCGGCCTATGATAATGTAGACTTAAACATCCTTATCGAGAAATTAGAGAAGATCGGATGCCCCAGAGATATAGTAAGATATACATAGTAAGACATAGTAAGATTTGTGTACGTGTGGAGCAGGGTCAGATACACCCAGTTTATTGTGGCTGGGGAGGAGACTGTGAAGAGAAGGGTACACAAAGGCCTGCCGCAGGGGGCTGTGTTGAGCCCCTTACTCTATTCGTTGTACACGAGGAAAACACTGAGGAGTTAGGAGGGGGGATACGCACAATTCAATTTGCGGACAATATTGCTTTATATACTACAAGTTTACATAGAGAGGCAAATACTTTCGCGATACAAGATGCGGCGGAATGTTTGGCGAAAAGATTGGAGGCGCTAGGAATTAGAACCTAGAAAAACTGTTCTGGAATTTAATAAGTATGGTGTACGAGATAAAAGAGTGAAGATAAGACTAGGAGAGATTGATATACAGAATAGTGCAGGGGCAAGATTCCTTGGGTTATGGTTTGACAATAAGATTAATTTTTACCATCAGGTTGATCTGGTTAGAAACAAGGTTAAGAAGGCGAATGGGCTAATGAAGTATCTGAATAAAAAGAAAAGAGGTATGGAAGTTAACACGGCGTTACTGTTTTACAAAAGTATTGTGAGGTCAGTTACGGATTATGGACTATTTATATACTTTCCCAGGGAACTCAACCAAAGACTATTAATGGAAAGGGCTCAGTATGCAGGACTTAGGACAGCATTAGGCTACAGAAATAGTACACCGAATAACGTAATTATAGCGGAATCGAAAGTTATGTTGCTACAGGATAGGGCAGAAATGCTAGCAAGGGATTTTCTCTTGAAAATTATGATATATGGAGATGAAGAGACGAGACTAAGAATAGATCAATTGGAAGCAAATGAAAACTATGAACGTTATATCAGGCTTACGTCGAACAAAAGCTGCCTGGTAAATGCTTGGTCGAGGATAAAATGGTTAAAGAAGCATACGGAAGAAAGAAGAAAATTTGAAATTTTCGAGTCGGGTTACGAGGAAATTACGGAGGAAATGGAGATCGATAAATATACAGCGAGGCAATGGAAAAAGAAATTCCATACAGATGAACACCTGATCGAAGCCATTATAGAAAATAACAAGATCAGAGGCACGATCAAAGTAATGTACACGGACGGCTCCAGAGATAAATCGAACAAATCTACAGGAGTGGGACTGGTTATAGAAGAACAAGAAACAGCGTATAGTATAAGCCTGCCAAAAGACTGCTCATCTTTCACAGCAGAAGCATTTGCAGTTAAATCAATGTTAGAATTAATCTATCAAGAAAAAATAGAGGATAGTCAAAACTATTTAATACTTACTGATTCACTATCGACCATACAAGCTCTGGAGAATAATTTACTCCAGGTATACAAAAATATGTATATTATAAAAACCAGAGCTCTATATAGGAAAATTGTGAACAGCAGGAAATGTAGGATAATTATAGGATGGGTTCCTGCGCACGTAGGGATTACGGGTAATGAAACTGCAGATAAATTGGCGAAAGAGGCCTCTCAGGAACCCCCCGCGGAGGAAATTAAGGTCCCGTAGAGTGATTTTAGAAACATTTTTAAACGAGAGCTCTGGAACAATACACAAAATAAGATTATAAAAGATGCAGAGTATAAAGGAAAATTCTATTTTGAGAATTTTTATAAAAGAAAAAGAAGAAAACCGTGGTTCAGTAATACTAACGAGGAAAGGTATCTTATAGTGTAGATTAATAGAATCAGGTCAAATCATTATAATGTGAATGAGTCACTGGCTAGGAAGGGGTATATAGAGGACGCTAGGTGCGATTGCGGAAATGAGTGCGAAAGCCTGGAGCATGTGATATGGAGGTGTGTGAGGTATGACGAGGAGAGAGAGGAGATGGACTTGGAGCTGAGGAGTATGGGGGTAAGAGGGGAAGTGAATTTAATGGCTATCAGAGAGATAGATTGGATAGTATTAAAAGACATTACAAGTTTTTCAGTAAAGATAATAGAATTATTAATATAAGAC